TCTGAAGACCAATGGAAAAATTTCCTCAGGTGAGAATTTAAAAAAAAAGTAATGATGATTATTGTTTTCCTGGATTGTAAATAGCAGGTACCCAAAGGCATTCTTAAAAGACAACTGGAGTCCAGTCAGAAATTTTTCACAATTCAGGCTAAAAAAATCTAAGTATGGTGTCAGATGTGTATTGAAATTATTACTTTTTCTAAAATTATTTTTTTGTTAATCCTCACCCAAGGATATTTTTTTCTATTGATTTTTAGAGAGAGTAGAAGGCAGGGAGGGAGGGAGAGAGAGAGAAATGTCAATATGAGAGAGACACATCGATTGATTGTCTCCTGCACACATCCCGACTGGGGCCGGGAATTGAACCCGAGACCCTTCAGTGCAAGGGCCAATGCTCTAACCATTGAGTCACATTGGGTAGGGCTGAAATTATTACTATTTTTAAGTATTCTTTACTCTTAACAGTATTTGAAACAGGAAGGCAGTGAATTATACCAACAATGAAAATCCTTAAATAAAAACAAGCATGTACATATTCATCTTAACTATGAAAAATAAAAAATATATGTTCACAAAGATTTGAAAAACTGAGTCAGATATAAATTGAGGTTAATGCTTACTGGGTGTTACAAAGTTGTGTTAGCACAGTAGCTGGCATACTTGCTTCTTCCTGAAGGGTAAGTGCTCACATCAGATGTACAGCGCTCAAGGAATTTTCACAAGCAAAGTATACTCCTGTCATCTGCTCCCAGAGCTAGACCCAGGGGACCTCCCAAAGGGAACCATCGTCCTGACTACTGACTCTTCAGATCTGTTTTGCCTGTTTTCATACTTTATGTTTTTTGAAACATACTGTATTTACTCTTGTGTCTGGCTTCCTTATCTCTTTTAGGTTCATACACTTTTAGGTTCATCTGTATCATTGCATGATCCATTCTTGTTCCCGTGTGCGTCTGTCAGCCTCAGAGTCAGAGCAGGAGGATGCCCACGTGGTTATCCATCCTGTTGATAGGCATCTGAGTGGTTGTTTCCAATGTAGAGCTATTACAAATGGTACCGCTGTGAGTATTCTGCTTCCTGTCCCGTATAGACACATAGGCACACATTTTGATAGGTGTATTTTATACCAGGAGAAGAATAACAGTCTTGGGTATGCATGTGTTCAGTATACATGCATACCTTGCTGACCTTACACCAGGAGAGTGGGAGTACTCTTCATCCCCAGTGGGCAGGTAGTGATTTGCATTTCTATGACAGTTAATGAAGTTGAGCACCTTTCCAGGTATTTTTTTACATTTACATACTCTCAGGATGTCCTCCTTTGTGAAGTTCTGTGTTTTTCTGCTCAGTTGCCTGCCTTTTCCTGAGTGTTCATTGTTTACTCAGAGTGAGTCCACTGGTGATCATGTGTGTTGGACAAATCTTCTGCTCTGTCCATGGCTTGACTTCCATGTCTAAATCCACTCCTTTGATGAACTGGAGTTTTTAATCTTAATAGAATCCCATTGGCCCTTGTTTTCCTTTATGGTTGATACTTTCTGGCTCTCGTATGAGAAGTCACTGCCTATTCCCAGGTTAGGAAGATGCTCTCCTCTGCCTCCTTCTAAATGTGCTTCAGAGATGACTGTTATCCCAGCTGTACTTCCAGGACCTATTTAGTTAGAAATGTGTGATGGCCAGAAACTTTAGTAAAGGTTTTGAACTAATTCACAGTTTATTCACAACAGCATGTACAGGCATTTGAAAAGTAGAGGTAGGACATACTAGGGAATACCTTCCAGTCATGTGGACACATGCTGGGTACTACCCACCTGATTTGAAGGCTGCTCGACGTGCTGGAGGCTCCAGGCATGGCAACCAAGGACCCAGGAGCTGGCAGATTCCATCTCAGTCTGTCCATGCCCAGAATGCACGCACCCAGTTTATCTCATGTCTTCAGAATACTTCAGTGCCAGGAACTGTGCTAATGACCCTGGAAACAAAGATGGACAAACAGGATTTCCCTTAGAAGGGCTGAGGATCTAATTTGAGGGAGCTCTTTGCATAAACAAATATATGACAGCGTGCCTCCAAAGTCCTGATGGATTCCAGTGCCTAAGATGTTGGAGAATTAGGAAGTGGGAGGCGTCAAGAAAGCTTTGTATAGAAGCAGCCCTGAAGTTACCAGTGGGGTGGGTGGATGGATGGGTGATACCAGGTTTCCCTCAAAATCGACATTATGCTTCATGGAGCAGTAAAGTGAAACCTGTTCATTCTCATACATGGTTGGTAGCAGAACAACGTGGCACAGCCTCTTCAGAGAACAATTTGGCAGCATTTGTCAAAATTTAAATTGCACGTCCTTTCTGCATCTGGGCTAGACAGTAACTGGGCTACAGGGGCTGTATCGAGGTCAACACCCTGAAGTAGAATAGTGTGACCTGGCTCTTCAACTCTGTTCGTTTATCCAACACATTCACTCAGGTTCTTAAAGATATTCTTGCATCATTGTTAGTAGCATCAGAATATTGTAAGCAAACGAAATATCTGTCAACAAGGGAGCGCTTTAATTACAGTACATCCATAATACACTGAAGTGTCACAGAGCTATCACCTAGAAGGTGGCAGCTCTCCAGGCACTGTGCTGGGACCGTTCCAGGGTACACCGTGAAGACAATGAGGTGGAGAGCCGTGCACTCTGGTTGCTCCTGTCCCAGTTTAGGAATGGGGACAGGTTAAGATGTGTGTGTTGTGTATGTCTATCCACACCTATTCCTGGACAGAGGGATGGATCTGTTCTGATTAATTTTTTTTATCACGTGCATGCGTTACCTACTCAAAACAAGATGTTATTAACAGGTAATTTTTTTATTTAAGAAAGTGTTACTAAATGCCACGTGCTATCTTTGCTTGGACCCTGAAACAGAAACAACATCAATGGAAAACTGCTGGCATCTGAAAAAAATGGAGTTCAGCTACTAGTGATATGCTCATGTTGAATTTTTCATTTCAACAGATGCCTTGTAGCAGTGTAAAATAGTAACATTAGGGGGCACTGGGTGAGGAGTATCAACAACTCTATATTATCTTTGCAACTTTTCTGTAAATCTAATATCATTACAAAATTAAAAATTTATTAAAGTTTTTTTAATGAACCCTGTCAAGTTATATTTACAAAATTGTGTCTGAGAATGAGCAGATTTAGAAAGTTAAGGTTCATTCCCTTCCCTCCTGTCCTCTTGGTTTAGGTCGAAGAATTCCATCCACCGACACCAACCCGCCATGTGGCGGGAAGGGCTTCAAACTCCGGAGACAGCCTTCAGAGCCCAGGCGAAGCTGCTGCTGACTGAGCCTCAGCCTCAGACTCAGTGATGAAGTAGGTGGTCCTGAAAGCTAACAGGAGGTCTGGGGGCCCTGCTGCCAGCCTTCGCCTCGCTGGTCTGGGGTCTGCTTCATGCAAAAAAGAGTCGCAGAAATTGACCAGTCTGTTTCCTCTTTGAAGACTGTAGCAGTGCGGTTTCAGTCTTCGGACTTGTGTTATGTAAAGACTCTGGGGGACAAAGGGACTCCATCACTGGCTTTTGACCTTGTTGAAAAGGAACATGTAATTGTATGGATCGTAGGATCCAATTGTTGAGTCGTTTTGTAATCAAGATTTTATGTAACATTTGTAAAGGTAAATGAGCACTTTCATCATTCTTGAGGGAAAGAAGACCTCGTGGAGATTATAGTTTCCTTGGTTTCACATTACCACTGTTCTAGGGAGTTGTATAATTTAAAATGTGGTAGCATCGTTAAGTGGAGGGATGGCGATTATTATCTGAAGGTAAAATGGGTTCTTTATCGGACTGATGGAAATGATTGCATCCATCTCTAGAGCATTTTCCATTGCATACATTAGCCCAGGATACATACAGTAAATTCACAACAACAACAATAGCCTGCAGCTCAGCCTCCGTTTGCATTCTGACCCTGTCCTGTATGTGTCACCAAACTCATTATTGGCTCCTGTAATAAGCTCTAAGAATCAGGGTAGTGGTGGTGGAGAAGCTGACTGGAGTAAATCAAATTGCATATGTTTAAACTGACTAACTGGTTTTAAAAGGAGGAAAAAGAAAGTAGTGTAAATACTGTCAATTTTTTATTTAACCCAAATATTTTGGTGGGGGAAACAATTATCTGTTGCTTAGCCTATGTAAAGTTGTAGTCCATATTTATGAGACCATTGCTTAAAAAGTATAAATTATGTAAATATGGTAATAAATTCTGTGTTTCATTCCATTTAATCTTGCCCCATCTTGCATGTGCCAACCCTATTTTCAGCCTGTCCACAGGAGACTCTTCAAAGCACATTTATGTTGTGCGAAAGCAGAGAGCCTTAGCTTATAAGTCTTCAAAGATTTCCCTGCCTTTCTTTCCTTCCATCCCCCTTCCGAAGCCCATCTGGAAATCATAACGTAGACATATGCCACTTGGACAAGCCTGACTAGCCCTTCCTAGCCTTGGGGTAAAAAAAGCTCCAAGCTCAGGTCATTTACCTGGTCTTGGTAATAAGTTTCTTTTCACTTTTAACATCGGCCTCAGACCAACTGTTTGAAGAGAGCTTTCCTTGTTAACAATTTAGCTTATCTTTCCGGTTCCCTTTTCCCCCCTGCCTCTGTTAGTGGTTAACACTCTTTTCCCTCAGGGAGCCTAATGAGGTTTTTAATATAATCTAAAAATAAAGCACTGAAGTGAAGTTGGTGAAAATTTGTCCCTGGTCTAATTTGGCACCCTTCCAACTTGAGTATTGTAAGGGAAGGAAATTTACAAGATTATATAGGAAATGAAACAGCTTGAATTTCAAACTAAATTGTGTTTTCAGAGCTCTCCTTAAACTGAACAGTCAAAACTTTTAAAAATAATTGTTATTTCTTTGTGCACCCCACTTGATATGGGTAGATTTTAATGAGAAAATTATAACTCAAATGAAGTACAAAACGATTCCCTTCTCCCTGGTGAATATCTCAAGCATTTGAAATTGCTTGTTTTTTATTAAAATCCGATAGAAGGAATGTAGTTAGTGAAAATTCTAACATCGTTTTATTTAAAATACATGTAGACTCTATAGGCGCCCCCCCGCCCCTCACCTACCCCGCCCCAGCATCTTGCTTTCAGAGAAAACAAATAATTGTAAAGACTGGGCTTATACTGGTACATCCAGGTGGGTGGGCGTACTTGGCCACTGCCCTGGTCCATCCCCAGCATTCCCACTCTGGGCCTCTGTCTCCACGACAACAAAATAAAAACAAAGGTTGCTTGACTTCTTCCCGAAGAGGCAATGCTTGTGTGGCCCCTTCTTTCCTATTTTACCAAAAGATGGTGCAAATCTGTGACCTTCACAATATTGCCACCAAACCTGTCATTTAGTGTTTACGATTTCATGGTGTCTGAGTGCACAGGGAAAAACAAAGTGCTTGCTTGCTTCACCTTACTGGTGCAGTGAGTAAATGCCTCTGATCCTGTTTTGACCTTGACTGTCTTCAGCCCCAAACGGGTCCATCCCGGTAGCCCTGCAGCGGTTCTCTGCCATTTCTCAGACACCTTCCAGCATGTAGAGAGGGATTCTCTTTGACTGTAGCCACATGTTTTATGCACAGAATGAATGGCGTATGGCATGTGCAGCACTAGCCACTATTCTTCACGCGTTTCTGGGCCTCTCCTCCCCTCACTTCCATCAGTCATCTCAGAAATTGACCTGGCACCATTCTTGTGCAATATCTTTTTAATCCTTAACAACAGCAACAGATTGCTCTCTCAGATCCACAATTCACACACAATGAAACGGAGAAAAGGGTTTTCATTTATTTTGTTTGCTTATGAAATGCAAAGATGAATATTAAAGTCAGAAGCAGTGTTTCATTTTGAACACACTTTGGATGTTAACCTGACTGAGCAATGATCTGATACACATTTCATACATTCTTTGTTCTTATTTCTTAAGAGAAAAGGCCAAATTTCAAAGGAATTGAGGTCTAATCCATCCATAAAAATCTTTTGGTTCCCTTATGACACAGGGCATTTTTTAAAAAACTTTAGGGACTGAAAAGAGAAAAATCATTAATTAGCTGCAAGTGTATATTGATTCCTCTCAGAGAAATTGAAATAAGCTCTTCGCAGGTGTCTAATCCTACTCACCATTGGTCTCCAGAAGTCTCCTTCCACATAAGTGTTTTTCTGATCCTCTGATAACTAATTAACTATCATTTGGTGATTAAAAGAACAAAGTAAGAGTATGATCAAGTGCCCTTCATTTCAATTTCTCTTTAAGAAGTGATTGGGGAGAAGTACCTGGATACAGGCCCTTCAGTTTCCAAATGAACCCTCCATCACCTGCTTCTCAGCCACAGGCAGGATAAGTTCCACACATAGCAACAGGAAGATTTAGTTCCTTTAGAATAACATACTTCTGTGCTGCCCATGTATGATTATGTTTGAAGTGCCTGCCTCCCCCAGTTTGAAAGGGTCAAGTCTTTTGCCTGAGAAGCTTGATCTCTTCTAAGTGGGCTGGGGTCCTCCTTGAGGTCATCAATTATCATTATTTTTAAATGTATAAAGAAAATCACATTTAATTTCTCTGCTTCTCTTTAAGTCTTGTATTCTTTTCGGTCCTCAAGAAGGAAAGCAGGTTCTAGGAGGCCTTCTAAATTAAACGGGAAGCTACAGTAATGAAAATGTCCATTAGAGAACCATTCCCTGGCCTCCCTGGGGACATGGAACCAGAAGGCCTGCACTTCTCGAGCTGTGTCAGCAAGGGCAGGTCTGATGCAGATGGCGAGGCACTAATTGGCAGGTCAGCCTCAGAGCTTGAAAAGGTATTTCTTCATGGTCATGGGCATCTGTAATAGTCTGAGAATGAATGGCAAAAGAGGTTGTATTAATTCTTATAAGCATTTTTCACTTGTTTTAAAACTGAAAACATGATCCACGGCCCTTTGGTGTGTAAGATAGAGGCACAGAGTATATTACGTGCACAACAGATGTGTTTGCAGGAACCTGCATAGTAATGAGAGAATCCTTTCTTTCTGGGGGAATGTTGCTGGAAGTCCCTTAACTCTGATCTACTTTAGAACATTGGGTGGAAATGACAACACCCAGACTCAGGCTGTCTTCCCTCTCCAAACTCACTTGGCTGTAAATATTCCTCCTAACCCTCTAGTAAAAACTAAAAGACAATATTGAGCCAGATAGTGTAGCCCTGTCAACAATCTTTGTTATTTACATTTGTCTTAGAAGGACTAGCAGCATGACTTCTGTTAATTAGTCACTCCAAGAGGTGGTCTACCTCTTGACAGTTCATATTTTTTAATGGAAGAAGTGGAGTGTACCTTTAAGGATCAAGTTGTTACTGCATACCTGACTTCAATTAGCATGGTCCATCAACAATTTTAAAATGATGCAAGGTAAGGTATAGGAGAAAAATAGTCTAACAATGATTCTTCCAGGAGATGGACCTTATACTCTGTAGTTTTAGAAGAGGGAGGTGGGGTGGGATTCAGCCCCGAACTGAAAGAAACAGCCTTTGCCAATTTCTCTTGACAGCAGAGTTACTGGTCTTGACTTCCAGTAATAGAAATCCAGACAATTTGATTATCTGATTTGCAAGAAACATTAATGGAATGCTGGGGCATTTGTCCTGTTCTTTGTGCAAATGAAATTCTAAAAAAATATTAGGAGGGTGTTACATTTCTCAGTTGCCTCCACTTTTTCAATCCAAGGGAATGATAAGTGAGAGATCTGTAGTGATGAAGTTTCATTAGACGTAATGAAGAAAGTGAAAAAATAGAACCAAGAATGTCCATATTTCTCAGTTTGTCCTTCAGAATTCTTTTCTTAGCATATAGGAAAATGATTTACTTCCCAAATCAAGAAGGGCTTCTACTAGCATAGATCAACTTTAATTTGAGGGTCTGTACCATCAGGAATAACTAATATCTATGTTCTTTCTTTATAGAGTATAATCAATTATAGATATGCTGGAATATTTGGGTCTTCCAAACAAAAGGATTCAGAAGTTTAATGAAAAGAAAAACCTTTCATCTTTTCCTTTGATTACATTGAACATTTTAGATAGTAATATTAGGATGTGTCATTAGTAGATACTGAATTAAAATCATAGAGCCTTAAATTTAACAAGAAAATGTTTTCATTTATTGCCAGTTCATTTTCGGATCTGCATGGTGCCCAGTTCCTCATCAAAATGCTTCATAATTGAAACAAACAAAATTCAAGATAACCTTCCCTGAACAGGAATTCAATTGCCAAGAATTCAGCCAATTAATGGCAAATCCTAAGACAGCAATGATTTTTTTTGAAAGCGCCTCTTTTAATTGGCAGTTTTAAATGGTAGACTTTAATGTTCTTAATCATGCAACAGAAATAAAACATGCCAGTCTTCATGCCACGTCTTAATTTAGGAACTTTTCAGTGCTTCCAGAGCAAATTATTTACTATCAGTGCTCCTTTAGAGAAAGTCATTTTTAAAGTAGCATTCCGCACATAGGGCCATTTATCTTTACTCAGAGCTGAAATTGTCCCCCAAAGCCATGTCATGTTGTAGAAATGGCCAGGAGCGTAGGGCCGTCCCAGGTGGACAGGCAGCGCACCTCTACTTGGAACATTTTCAGCCCACAGCAGTGATGACTTCACTTTGGGGCTTCATCTTAATCTCGTTTGTCCTTTATGAATATTTTCATTAAATTTACCCTGGAATAATCAAGTTTACTCCCTGAGAAATTTCAAAAACAGGGTTTGAATTTGTGTACCTGCTTTTACTTTACGTATGAGGTTATGACATAATTGATGAAACTTTTCCTTAATATGGATCATACCCATGATGTCAGAGCGACTGGTCGATTCAGTGCAGGAAAAATTATGGGTAGCTAGCCAGTCAGAGCAGCTGATTGGTAGCTCTGTTTTTAAACCATTTGTCGTGTTGTGTGGACAGAGCTTTATTGCTCTGGGAAAGATTTTCTTTTTCACTCTCCTCCAGCTCCGTCTTTCTATCATCTCACTTTATGAGTCACTCACGTAGTTGTCAATCATGCCTCTGACCTTCTTAAGAATTGATGTCTCGCCTTCTCTGTGATCGAAGCGGACTGCTTACCTTATTTCTCTTCTTCTCATTTTGCAGTGGGCCGTCCCTTAAAGTCACAGGGCACCATCCACCTCCTTAGTGCACGCGACAGTTCTGTGCTGCCTCCCACAAGCACTGTAGGGCTTGCTCTCCACATCCAACAAGAGAGGCAAGACACCACCAGTGCCGTCAGAAAACAAGGCTAATTTTAGGTGAAGAACTCCCATATTTTGAGAGAGGCAGTGGGCAGCACTAACTTAAGTGGCAACATGACTTGAGTGACAAAATGTTTTCTAGCACTGGTGATGAGATAGTGTGAGTGTCAGAACTTCGCTTAGTGTGTAATAGAGCATTTGTCAACGGATGTGACAATCCAAGTCCAGTCTTGAAGGGAAGCGGATATAGAGTGTGGAAGTGAGCCTAGACGTTAATTTTTTTAAAAGCTAAGCCCTCATACCAGCAATTCTTATTTCTCCTAACAATGTCATGCCTTTTTAAGACCCGATGCAAGGAGTAAGATACTTGTGCCTTTTATAATAACATCTATTATGAAAAAAATTAGATGAATTTGCTTCCAGTTTAGGCCGCTTGGTAGCACTATAAACAGCCCAGATTTATAACCGTGGCTTCCCTGCATGACGCATTGCTTGATTACCTGTGATGAACTATTGTAATGATGACTTGCCAAGCTTATATGGATGTTTAAAGACTTTATTTTTGCAGTCTTAACCTTGGGCTGGACCTGAGTCTATAGGTAAACCATATGATATCTGTGCTGTTGTAGATGCTAACAAAAGGAAACTAGATCTTTGGATTTTTGTTGTAAGATTTTTCTGTTTTTACTTAGCCAGTGGTAGATAGTTTGCAGATGGTGGTTGATTTGGCACACTTTTAAACTATATTGTTTTAGCTTGAATATTATATCATCAACTTTTATAGAGGATAACGTGCTAAATCACAACAAAATTTGTTGTATTGTAAGAAGGTTGTAAACATTTTCTTAATAAAATACTATGTTTATAAATATATGCGTTTGCCTTTCAAATGGTTTTTCTTTGTAATAGTATACATCACACATTTGTCTTAACGAAATATTCTGAAGTCCCTTTAAAATTATGTTTGAAAACCGAAATGGCAGAACTCTGATAGTTCTGGCGTGTGGCAAGCAGCAAACTAAGCGTATGAACTGATCCATCTGCCTGGCGTCCTGTATCTTTGTATACAACCCCCTCCCACTTCGCTTCCTTGCGTGCTTCTGAGGTTATGATGGGGCGTGGTGCTGGCAGCCTGCAGTGTGGGTGGAGATTCTGCTTCTCTTCCAGGTCAGGAACAGTGAGGTTCCTTGCTTGGTTCATGGGAGAAAAGCTTTAGGCCATCATCTATTATTGGGGGATTTCATCAAAGGAGCCAGTAAATTTCCATTCTGGTGTTGACTTGAACCCTGGAATCCCCCAGGGCCACTCACTGCCGGCAGAAGTACATCACACACTCCTGTTCCTGTGAGATCCCTCTTACCTAGGAGCACGTCTGGCTATATTTTGTGGTTGTGTTGAGAGACCCAGAGAGGACGTAAGACAGACAGACTTGGGTTTGAGTCTCAGCCTAGCCCCTTTCTGGACTGTGCAGTTCTAGACAAAGTCCTTGGCCTCTCTGAGTTTCCTTGCCTTTATCTATAAAGTGGGAAGATAAGAGAGCATACCCCATGCAGTTACATACTTTGGCAAGATATCTATATAACCGGCATTTTATCACAGCATGGATAAAGAGTAAGCACTGACATATTATTTGTTTTTAAAAGTTATCTCCCTGATAATCCATAGCTGATTCAGTTAAAATAACTATTTGTTATGAGTTTGGTATTTGACTTGTTTTTTGCCATTTTTGAAGTATAACATACAGAAAATGCCATACAGCTTGTGCCCACCTCAATACATTTTTCTCTCCACATAACCACCCCTCATATCAAAAAATGGGACATCACCAGCATCCCAGAAGCCCTTTCCTGTGGCCCCTTCCCGTCACTACCTGTTTTCAAACACCACCGATTAGTTTTGAACTTGATAGAGTCACTGTATGGACTGGGATTGGGCTTCATTCAACACGGCATATAGTATTTGCGCTCATCCTTACTGCTATATTGTATTCCACTAATAGCCATTCTAAGTTGATAGGCATGGCATTATCTCCAGTTTTTTGCTGTTACGAATGTACTACAATGAACATTCTTACATGTCTTTGGCTCCCAAATACAGATTTCTATTGGACATATACCTGGGAGTGGAATTACTGGGTCATGGGAGAGCACTGTGTCTGTAGGTTGGTTCGTTGGTTGGTTGGTTGGTTTTTGCTTTAGTAGATAACAGTTTTCTAAAGTGGCATAGCAATATAACAAGATTCCCAGTTGCTTGGCATCCTTACCAATGCCTGGTACTCCATTTCAGCCATGCTGGCAGGTGTGTGGTGGTATCTTCTTTTTTTTTTTCATAATTTAGAAATTTTTATTTATTGATTTTTTTATTTATTTTTGCAGTGGTATCTTTTAGTGGGATTTTTATTTTCCTATTTGATGGATGTTCTTCTGCAGGGCTTTTAAATTGAGCCTGAAAGGGAGTATATTTCTTAGTACCTCTCTTCTGTTGTTGCATATTGTACCCACACCCATAGCTGGAGCTGTGTTGTGGGGGAGGGAGGAGATGGAGGAGGAGCGGGCAGGGCTGGTGCAGAGCCATGGGCCCCCAGCCCTCCATCAGGCTACTTGATCAGATAGATCAGAGAAAGCTATAAACAAAGTTGAAAGGTGAACCAAACACTGGGGAAGACGTTTTTGCTACATTGATAACAGAATAGGTTCCTCTAGTCTACTGAGAATGTCTACAAAGCAAAAAGAAGAGCCTTCAAAAGGAAAATAAAAAGACCCATTACATGAAAAGGCAATTCCCAAAAAAGAAAATATAATAAATGAGTAAATAACAGAGGCTAAAGCACATGAATGCCTGTCCAAGCAGCATGAACTCGCCTTTGGCCTGTTGGTGCCTGTGTAAGGAGAGGAACCCTCATCTTAGTGCATCTGCTGGGGACAGGACCCTGCCCTTGGTCCACAGTGACAATCATCAACCCGGAGATGCCAGGCCATAGAGTTGTAAACAAACTGCCTGGACGAGCACAGGCAGCATCCTTGTTTATAACTTTTGGAAAAGGAACCTAAACAGCTGCAAACACATTTACATGGCAGGCTGTGCCCAGTATACAGCTAAATGAGAAAAGGAGGCAGCACTTCAGAGTGTGTGCAGAGTGTGACTCCATCACCCAGGACAGATGATGCACCTGCAGGGTGCGTGCCTTCTAAATCTGGGAACATCACCAAAACCGGTTTGGCTTAGTGGATAGAGCGTCGGCCTGCGGACTGAAGGGTCCCAGGTTCGATTCCGGTCAAGGGCATGTACCTGGGTTGCGGGCACCTCCCCAGTGGGAGATGTGCAGGAGGCAGCTGATCGATGTTTCGCTCTCATTGATGTTTCTAACTCTCTATCTCTCTCCCTTCCTCTGTAAAAAATCAATAAAATATATATTTTAAATCTGGGAACATGGACTCCAAGATGCTCGTGGTGCTTACTCTGAGGAGAAAGGCTTGAGTGACATTACTATCACCTTTTTCCACTTTCTGTTTTAGATGTATTTCTATACTTTTAAATTTCATTTTCATATTTGACCCATCTTTTTTCAAGCTGTCCTAAATCCTCTTAGAAGGGGGAGTATAAATAAATAAATACAGGGTCTCCCAAAAAATATATATATACTTTGAATGATTATAAAGTCAGTGTTTATTAACATGCAATTTATATTCAATTTAAAGAATACAGAAATGAATAATTTTTGTCAATGCCTATTTTCAAACGATGACTGTTCTGGTTCAGGCATTGCTGATAATGCAAAGCAGTGGAACTGCAAACATCAAGAATCATTTTGTTCGGTACTTATATGCCCTCAATTCATCAACTGTTGCCAGTTTTGTACCGTAAACTTTATCTTTTATGTATTCCCATAAAAAAAAATAGTCTAGTGGCACTTTACAATAAATTTTCTTTGTCCAAAGCTTAGTCTGGCTTCATCCATTATTTCAAATCAGTTAAACCTGAAGAGGAGTGAAAATTAAATGAGTTATCAGCTGTTAAAGTGTGTATACATTTTGGGGGGGCACCCTGTATATGTTATGAAGGAGGATATTAATCTATAGCCTGTCAAAATAACACTATGGCGAAAGCCACTCTAAGAAATAGAATGACTCTATGCCCAAAGGAAGAAACGAGTTAGCACAAACAGCGGTATTTTAAATGCACACACAAAACAACTGCTTTATTTTCCTACAAGCCACCGACTGCTTGCTTGCCATGGTCGGCAAACCGCCGTTCGCGAGCCACATGCGGCTCTTTGACCCCTTGAGCAGTGGTTCTCAACCTTTTGGCCCTTTAAATACAGTTCCTCATGTTGTGACCCAACCATAAAATTATTTTCGTTGCTACTTCATAACTGTAATGTTAGTACTGTTATGAGTCGTAATGTAAATATCTGATATGCAGGATGGTCTTAGGCGACCCCTGTGAAAGGGTCGTTTGACCACCAAAGGCGTCGCGACCCACAGGTTGAGAACCACTGCCCTCGAGTGTGGCTCTTCCACAAAATACCACGTGTGGGTGCGCACGTACAGTGTGATTGAAACTTTGTGGCCCATGCACAGCAGTCGGTATTTTGTAGAAGAGCCGGTATTTTGTGGAAGAGCCACACTCAAGGGGCCAAAGAGCCGCATGTGGCTCGAACTGCGGTTTGCTGAGCCACAGTTTGCCAACCACTGCAGAGCATATAAACCATGGACCCAGGTTTCTAAGCAACCTTAATTTTATGGCAGATTTTTTTCCATTCGGACTTAAGAACAAGATTTGTATTAAGATGGTAAATTACAAAATAAAATTGAGTCTTTTAAAATGTTTAGTTGTTTGGCTTGTGATAATACTAGCTGAAAATAGGGTTCTCTACTGGAAATGTTGGTTGGAAGTCAAGCATCATCAGCCTTCTAGAATGTACCCATCATGAGTATGAAAGCATCCCTTTTGGAGGCCACTGCTGGAGGTTGAAAGACAGCGAAGCAGGACAACAGACACAGCTTGTCAGAATGCATCCCTTGGTCAAATATGATTTTCATCGGACCTCTGATCATTTCAGTGTTTTATTTTCAGCACAACCTTTGAACATCTTCCAAGAAACGACGTAAGAATGCAAAGACCACTGTTTAAGAAATTTGTGTAAAGGTGATACAGCCACAGAGATCACTGTTAAAGGGGCGGAAAGCAGGACAGCCAGAGGATCAGAATTCTCTGTGTTTAATGCTCAGTGTGAATGTTACCTTCAGGCTTCTGTTAAATAAACGATGTGGAGAATTTTGTGGGAAAGCTACAAAGGCTCCACTCTATTAGAGAAAGGGCATTTTTTAGAAGAAAAGTGTCAGGTTATGGATGATGGAAATGCAAGGTTAATGCAGAGTGTGGGTGCAGAAACCTCGCTGTGGTATACTATCATTAACATTAGCATTTCAATCAGCTGCTCTAGCCATGGGGTCAGGCCTTGTGTCTTCTTTACATAGAAATGAGAACAACACAGTTTGTTGTTGTTTTTAAAATGAAAAAAATAACTCACAAAAAAACAAGCATTCTTTTACAG